ACGTTGTTCAAGTCCCACTAATATCTTAATTAACGATTTAAATTAATTCGGCTGTTTTTTGTGTTTTTTTTGGCAGGGTAACTGCAGGATTTTAACATTTTTATTTTTAAAACGCCAGTTGCGAGAGAGGCACCCGTCTTGAGCAACAGCTTTCTTGCAATTGTAACGAAAGTCCCGTTGTATAAGCAGAACTCGATCCTGTCTAATTACCGTATATGTAGAATAAAATAATTACACGCATTCGTCAATAACACTGTGACCTTCTTGAAAGAAAAGCATCGTATCTGAGGCGACGTTCAGGGCGATGGTCATACTTCCTAGCGCATCAATGAATGGCCTTTTCCCGAAACGTCGCCTATTTTTATTTATTTTTATTTAAAGGCCACAGTGTGATTGACGAATAGGTTGAGCGTTATTAATTGTGCTTGTACACCGCAGGAAACGCGAAGTCACAAAACAACAAAGGCACGATAGCGTGACTTTGTAATTTTACAATTCACACACCGTGTCGATTTAAACAAAAAAACACATCTATGGCTGAGTCGACGTAAGAGTGGCCCAGGCCAGGTTCCTGATGATGGTGCGTTTAGCCAGGAAAAAAAACAACGCACCATCTTACCGCCAACCATAATAGCTGCTCGCTAACCACCCCTGTCCCTCAATCACACCAGGGCTGACGGGTTTTTTTTTGGTGGCATGTGCCTGAGCAATTGTGTTACGCGTGTTTACGATTGTGTGTATGTCTGTGCACGATTCGGTGTGGTCGCGTCTGATTGTGTGGCTGCGTATGCTTATGTGTGTGTTCGTATACGCTTGAGTACGTGTGTGGCTACGTGTGTGTGTGTCTGATAGTGTGATTGCGTGTACGGTTATGCGTGTGGTTATGTCTACGTGCTGTACGTGTCTAACAGTGTGATTGTGCATTCGGCTGTGTGCGTGTGATGTTGTGTGGCTTGTCTCGTTGTGCGTCTCTGTGTGTGGTTGTGTGTGTCTGTATGTGCATGCGTGTGCTTTTGAGATTGTGTATATGTGTGTGTGTGTTACAGCGTGTAATATTATATCACACGCATGCACATAGAGACCACGAGTTCGATTCCCACTCACGGCCAACACCAGTGATGACTATCTGAACCAGTGGTGGGCCTCCCCTAGGTCGACTCAGCCGCAATTGAGTACCTAGCGCGGTGTGCAGTAAACATCACCACTGGGGAAGACAAAAGCAGTCGGGCATGGTGCTGGTCACTCACCCTCTCGTGTGCCGTGCCGGCCTTCATAGGTGCTCGCTAACAGCACTTGTCCCTACAGTCTGTTAAGGCTATACGGGGTATCTTTGTCTATGTGGTGTGTGTGTGGTGTATGTGCTACTCGCAGCACTTTCCCCAAAAGTCCGTGAAGGCTATACGGGGTATCTTTGTCTTTGACGTGACTCCGCGTGATTGCACGTGTGATTGTGGTAAATGGGTGTGTGTGTGCCGCTGATTGTGTGTGTGTGTATGTGTGTCTGTGTGGGGGTGTAGCGGTTAGCGCTACGCTGCGCTACGAACCTGGCGGCGACCCGGGTTCGTTTCCCGCTCACGGCCAACACCGGTGGTGACGATTAACAGAACCGGTCCTGGGCCTCCCCTAGGTCGACTCAGCCTCAAATGACTACCTGGTGCGATGCGTAAACATCGCCACTGGGGAGACAAAGGCGGCCGGGAGTGGTGTTGGCCACCCACCCCCTCGTGTGCCGTGCCGGCCTTTATAGGTGCTCGCTAACAGCACTTGCCCCTACAGCCTGTCACAGGCTATACAGGGGATCTTTGTCTTTGTGCTACAGTGTTTATTTGACGGCGTATGCATCTGCGTAAAGGTCAACCCGTTGCTATACGAACCCAACGCTTTCTAATCAAACATTCGTTACACATTTTTTTTTGGTTACCAGTTGCCACGAAGCGCTTAATTTATTTAAGTGCGTCATAATTACGATACGTGGGTGTGTGTGCGTGTGTGGTTGGTTGGGGGTGACGTTTCAGAGCGGTGCAGTGGATCAGCTTGAATCCCGGCGAGTCGAGTTCGATCCCTGCTCACAGCTAACATCAGTGGCGAATAACTATTGTTGCCGTGTATAAATATCAGTACAGGGGAGACAAAGGCGGCCGGGTGTGATTCTGGTTCACGCTAACCAGTCTTGCGCCTATTCTGACATTAGGCATAGATGCTCATTAACAGCCCTTGCCCGAATAGCCTTATGAAGGCTACACGGGAGATTTTGCCTTTGAATAGGTGTGTGTGTCAACGTTAGATTGTATGTATGTATCTGTGCAGGTGCGTGTGTGTGTGATTGTGTACGTGGCTGTGTATGTGTATTTGCGTGCGTGTGATTGTGGTGGCCTTTTGTATCTGTGTATAGTTGTGTAGATGTGTGTGTGTGTGATTGTGTACGTGGCTGTGTGATTATATGTGTCTTTGTGGGTGTGTGCGTGTGGGCGATTGTTCGATTCTGTGGGTTCGTGTCTGTTTTTGTGTGATTGTGGGTACATAATTGGGCGATTTCATGTGTGAATGTGTGATTGTGTGACTGTGTTTGCAATGGGTCTGTGTGTGTGATACCGTGGGTGTGTGTGACTGGAACCGGCTCCAGTCTATCAGCAGAGGTCTCACTCCGAATCAGTCGAGCGGCAATATCTTTTCATCGGTTGCGTAACGCTGTGTGGAAGCTACCTGGTCTGTCGCTCCGCACGAAGCTTCAGGTCTTCTCGGCCACGGTCATTCCCTCCCTTCTCTACGCTTGCGAGACGTGGACCCCCCTGGTGGAGCATCTTCGCCGGTTGGAAACATTTAGGCTGGCCTGCCTACGATCCATCCTGGGTTTAACCAGGCTGGATTGTGTGAGGAGCTCACAAATCCTTGAAAGATCTGGGCAAAGTCCCATCAGTGAGCTCCTCCGGCAGGCAAGGCTGCGTTGGCTGGGTCATGTAGCCCGCATGCCCAGCCACCGCATGCCTAAACAGCTTTTGTTCGGCCGGATCGAGGGGGCTAGACGGGCGCGGCACGGGCTGGAGAAGAGATGGAGTGATGTGGTACAGGAGGACGTGGAGCTGAGTGGACTTGCCGATGACTGGTACCAGCGGTGTCAAGATCGGCCTCAGTGGAGGAGGCTCGTGAAGGACGCTACTGGGCAGTTGGAGGCAGTCGCCCTCCAACAACAACGGAGGGCGGAGGAGCGACGCTCACAACAACGAGCGGAGCGCCGGGTGGCTAAAGCACAGCAAGTTGGCACAGTAGGGGGCACAGGTGGTGCATCAGCCAGTCATCTCGGTCATCTCGGTCAGTCGACCAGTGGCACCTGGGTCTGCCCCGTGACCTCCTGCCAGCGGGCTTTCGACACTTCACGTGGCCTCAAGGTGCACTTGGCCTGGCACAAGCATCGTGGTGACGTCACCGCCACTTAGTGGCGAATGGCGGTTGTTGTTGTTGTTGTTGTGTGTGACTGTGGGTGTGGGTGACTGTGTTTGCAATGGGTCTGTGTGTGTGTGATACTGTGTGTGTGTGAAACTGTGGGTGACTGTGTTTGTAATGGGTCTGTGTGTGTGTGAGACTGTGTGTGTGTGAGACTGTGTGTGACTGTGTTTGTAAATTGTATGTGTGTGTGTGAGACTGTGTGTGTGTGAGATTGTGGGTGTCTGTGTGTGTGACACTGTGTGTGAGTCTGTGTCTGTGTGAGACTGTGTGTGAAACTGTGTGTGTCTGTGTGTGTGTTTTCAGAGGTGTTTGCCAACAGCACTTGCCCCAGCAGTCTATCAGAGGCTATACGGGGGATCGTTGTCTATAATTGTATGATCTCCTATATCGGTATGTAATTGTCCATGTAGGTGTGTGGATGCTTTGTGTGTATCTCAACCTGTGCATGCATGTCCACCGTTACAACTCCAGCGAGTCACATGTTTATTTTAATTGGAGTTGTAATGCAATACTACATATACTATGAGTGTCTATCTTTTATAATTGTCTATATTCTACTGTATGCTATGCTCCCCCCCCTTTAAAGTTCTATACAGTAATGCGTTAGCTTCCTTAAAAAGGAAAAACAATATAAATATGCGAACGGTGACATTTCGGGCAAAGAGCATTCTTCAAAGCACGCGTCATCTGTATTTGCGTGCTAAGAAGGGCAATGGTTATAAGCTTTTCCTTTCAAGGCCACGCGTTGATGTCGATGCTGTTATTGACGAGCGCGTTGAGTGCTGTTGTTGTTGACTGTGCCTGTGCACCGCTGCCAAAGCAGCACCACCACCACCACCATGATTTCGTGAAAGTGCGACATCGATTTGCTTGGTCCACGCTTCGTTGAGATGAAGCAAGGAGAGGAGTGACGTCACAATCGTCGCAGACTGACGATTTATGGGTTGGCCCAGTGACGTCACAATCGATGGTGCACAGGCGGTGCAACTGCACAGGTGGGGCCACGTGGCCCCCCACGCTTTCAACACCTAAGCCTCACCTCCCTCCCTCACCTCCCTCACCTCCCTCACATCCCTCCCTCACCTCCCTCCCTTACCCCCCTCCCTCACCTCCCTCACCCCCTCCCTCACCTCCCTCCATTACCTCCCTCCATTACCTCCCTAACCTCCCTCCCTCACCTCCCACACCTCCCTCCCTCACCTCCCTCCATTACCTCCCTCACCTCCCTCACCTCCCTCGCCTCCCTCCCTCACCTCCCTCACCTCTCTCCCTCACCCCCCTCCCTCACCCCCTCCCTGACCTCCCTCACCCCCCTCCCTCACCTCCCTCACCTCCCTCCCCTCCCTCCCTCACCTCCCCTCCCTCACCCCCTCACCTCCCACCCTCTCCTCCCTCCCTCCCTCACCTCCCACCCTCTCCTCCCTTCCTCACCTCCCACCCTCTCCTCCCTCCCTCTCCTCCCTCCCTCACCTCCCTCCCCTCCCTCCCTCCCTCACCTCCCTCACCTCCCCGTGCACCCCACCCCACCCTGCCCCCCCGCCCCCCCACCGACGCAGGCGAGAAGCCGTTCAAGTGCGAGGTGGAGGGCTGCGACCGCCGCTTCGCCAACAGCAGCGACCGCAAGAAGCACATGCACGTGCACACGTCGGACAAGCCCTACCTGTGCCGCGTGCGCGGCTGCGGCAAGTCGTACACGCACCCCAGCTCGCTGCGCAAGCACATGAAGGTGCACTGCCGCCCCTCGGGACACTGCAGCGACACGGAGCCATCGAGTCCTCCCAAGGGCTCGTCTGGTGGCGGTGGCGGTGGCGATAGTGGTGGTGGTGGTGGTCGTAACCACCACCACCAGCAGCAAGACCATCAGCAGCAGCAGCAGCACTCGCTGCTCGGGCGAGTGCTGCACGCGCACAAGCAGCAGGAGCTGAGTCTGCAGCGCCAGCTGCACTCGCTTGCGCAGCCGCAGCCGCAGCACGCTGCTCGTGCCGCTAACATGAATGAGTGGTACGTGTGCCAGAGCGCCGGCGGCGGGGTCGGGTCGCCGTCTCCACGGCAGCCTTCGTCTTCACCGGACCTTCAGTGAAGGCCATCCACTCACCCCACCCACGTACTACCAACACAGCCGCTCCCCAACCCCCCCCACACACACCCACACTCACTCACTCACACACACACCCGCACACACCCACACCCACCCACACACACACACACCTACCCACACACACACACAAACATCCACACACACACACTCACACACACACCTACCCACACACCCACACACACCCACACACACACCCACACACACACACACCCACACACACACACTCCCACACACACACCCACCCCTGCCCCCCACCTCTCCCACACTCACCACGACTGCTCCACTGAACTGAAGCTCCGCACGAATCATTAAAACAGAAACCCCGACCGCTTCAGTGTCGCGGCAACGATCATCTGTGGTGGTGGTGGCGGTGGTGGTGGCGGTGGTGGTGCTGTGATGGTTGGTTTGGTGGGGTTCGGGTGATATTTATTTTGCTGGTTCATTGCTTTGTTTCGTTTCGGGGGCGAAGTACATTGACAATTGAAGACTGTCTCGTGACGAAGCGGGGCTGGTTGGTTGATTAGACGGTCCGCTTTTGGGTTGTTTGGTTGACAAATCGGATGGCCGTAATGGCAGGCAGGCTGGTTGATGTATTGTCAGCCGCTAGACTGCCTCACTGGGTTGTTTTTACTGGTTGGGATGGTGAACAGACTGCAGGCTGGATGGCTGGTGAGCTTATAGTTTCGTTGGTTGGCTGTGTGCGTATGTCTGACTGTTGGGTCGCTTGGCTGACTGATTGACTCGCAGGCCGGCTGGCTGACTGACTGTCGGCTTGGCACCGCTGTGTGGACGTGTGGCTGCTGGATTGATGAGCTGGTGAGTCGGCGAGTTTGTTTGGTTGGTGGAGGGCGTAAGAGGAGGTGGAGAGACACAGAGAGAGAGAACGATGAGCAGGAGGAACGTGCGGGACCAGTACGCATCATCATCACCACCACTATCATCATCACCGCCATTATCACCACTATCACCACCATCATCACCACCAATATCATCATCACCATCATCATCACCATCATCATCACCACCATCATCATCACCACCACTATCATCATCACCGCCATTATCACCACCATCATCACCATCATCACCACCACTATCATCATCATCATCACAATCATCATCACCACCATCATCACCACCACTATCATCATCACCGCCATTATCACCACCATCATCACCATCATCACCACCACTATCATCATCACCATCATCGTAATCATCATCACCACCATCATCACCACCACTATCATCATCACCGCCATTATCACCACCATCATCACCATCATCACCACCACTATCATCATCACCACCATTATCATCACAATCATCATCACCACCTCTATCATCATCACCACCACTATCATCATCACCACCACTATCACCACCATCATCACCATCATCACCACCACTATCATCATCACCATCATCATCACAATCATCATCACCACCATCATCATCACCACCACTATCATCATCACCGCCATTATCACCACCATCATGACCATCATCACCACCACTATCATCATCACCACCATCATCATCACCACCACTATCATCATCACCGCCATTATCACCACCATCATCACCATCATCACCACCACTATCATCATCATTATCATCATCATCACCACCATCACCACCATCACCACCACTATCATCACCACCATCACCACCATCACCACCATCATCATTGATCCGTGTGTTTGACATCACTAAACGGCGGCGGCGCAGGAAGTGCACGGTGCACCCCCCCGCCCGCCACCTCGCTCGTTCATTCATTCATTTCGTTCCTCGAGTCCCACCCCCCGACTGTTCATTAATTAATTTCGTTCATTAAGCCCCCGCCCCCACCCCCGCTCCATAATTCATTCATTTCGTTCCTCGAGCCCTCTGCCCTCCTCCGCGTGTTGCCATTGAGGAGTGGAATAGAACAACATCGATGTGTGGGGGTCGCCCACATCTGAGCGATCAGTTGAGCAACTGTGGTTGCATGCAACTGCATTGCGCCATGTAATCACGTCAATAAATGTTTCGTTTTGCCAGTGGTGGCGTTCTCATCGCCGAGGAGTGAGCACATGAAGGCAGCAGCAGTAGCCAGGCGGTGAACCGGCGTGACCAACTATTTCCCAAGCTCTGCTGTCCTCTACAAACACATAATGTGTTCAGCCGTTCAATGAGTGTTTATACATTTGAGAATGAAGCCGTAGCACACCGCGCGTGTGATAGGGCAACCACTCGATTCCATGCAGAGGGGAGAGATGGGGAGCAGTCTGCACATCGCTGTACCGCCTTCTCCTGGCGAGCCAGGGTACAGCACTTCGTCGACATGAAGGGGGGTGAGATTTGGGGGGGGGGGGGATCACAACATTTTTGTTGCGGTGATCCATCAACCCTCACTGCTTCACACAGCGCTGGATTGCAAGCCACGTGCAACACAGCCACTACCGCCCAGCAAAATTGGCACGTCTCCGCAACCGGTTGCGAGCGACCTGCGCAACCGGTTGCGAGCGACTTGGGCAACCGGTTGCGAGCGACCTGCGCGACCGGTTGCGAGCGACCTGCGCAACCGGTTGCGAGCGACCTGCGCGACTGGTTGCGAGCGACCTGCGCGACCGGTTGCGAGCGACTTGCGCAACCGGTTGCGAGCGACTTGCGCAACCGGTTGCGAGCGACCTGCGCAACCGGTTGCGAGCCACTTGCGCAACCGGTTGCGAGGACCTTGCGAGCGACCTGCGCAACCGGTTGCGAGCGACTTGGGCAACCGGTTGCGAGCGACTTGCGCAACCGGTTGCGAGCGACTTGGGCAACCGGTTGCGAGCGACTTGGCAACCGGTTGCGAGCGACTTGGGCGACCGGTTGCGAGCGACATGCGCGACCGGTTGCGAGCGACCTGCGCAACCGGTTGCGACCGACCTGCGCAACTGGTTGTGAGCGACATGCGCAACCGGTTGCGAGCGACCTGCGCAACCGGTTGCGAGCGACTTGCGCGACCGGTTGCAGACTCAGCTTTCAAGCATCGATGCGACCGGCGATTTGACGCGTTTCACCATCACGTGGCTGCGAATGTGCCAGGCACTCTGGGAGGCCGTTAGGCAATCCTGACCGTCGCTGTTTAATGTCCTTGTTGCGCAACTGTTCGCTCGGACGTGGGCAAAGCAGTGCGGCGGGCGACGATCAATTGAGTTGCGCGATTTCTAAAGAGGTGATTTTAAGACGCGAGTGTCCGAATCGCTCTGGGGGTTTGTTGGACCCGGCGTACCGGACAGGTGTGAGCGTGTGAGCGTGTTTACATTTGTATCTATAGTGTAACTATTCACGTTCGTGAACACGTGTGTTTGCGTGTGCGTGAATGTATAGCGTCGCAACGGACGTGATTTTGTCTTCTAAAATTCATCTTCGCGACTATCAATATTTGACCGAGCATATGTGTACATAATACCGTGTTTGCTGTGGTGTGATTTCACGAAAGAAAAGTAAAAGAGTGGGCAAAAAAACGAACTCAAACATAATTCTTCAATAACACTGTGTGACCTTACAATCAAGAAAACATATAATTGGAGACGTTTCGGGCAATGGCCCTGCTTCATAGCACGTGAAAGGAGAGTCAGCAGAGACACAGAGTGAACGATACGAGTTGGAGACGGCACTTGATTAATATCACAATTTTTTACTTATTATTTTTCCTCCCGATTAAATAGGCAATGTGTGAATAGTTACCCGAATCGTAGCAGTTAGGTAACGGACAACCTTCTCAGCGATCACGAAAGCGTGACGGCTGAAGAAACGCTTTCATATTAAAAATGTTTAATTATAAAACACTCTTAGGTGTTGTCAGTAAAGTCACATAGGTAAAAAAATATATATATTAAATTAAAATAAATCAATAAAATCACGACGTTTCGGAGGCAACACAAGCTTCCTTCACCTGATGATTTTTTTACCTACGTGACTTTACCCCAAAACCTAAGAGTATGAATCCTTGCAGTCACGAAAGCTTCAAATCTAGAATTAATTATAAAATGTTGGTGACACGGTGATATTGATGAACATGTGTTGAGTTTATCTTGTTGTTAATTACTCATTGCGCTCTGTGCACCACTGCCAACAGCACCAGCATCATCACCGACATTTGTTTTGGTTTAATAAAATAGAGAGTTCGATTGCCAGCCTTTATTTAAACGTATTGCGATATAACCAACCCACCCCACCCACCCGCTTTTTAATCGGTTCGGTCTATAAACCGCAAGTAAATGAACTTAGCAGCGACCAACAGTCCCGCGTGACCGCACTTTTCACTGCTGCATGAAGGGACCTCTCAGGCGACGCAAACGTTGATTCGTCTCAGCGCACGCGCCCGAACTTAGCCCTACATCATCCCCTGGACGGCGCGCTCCGTTCCGCGTTTAGCCTCGGACCACCGACCATCGCCTGCTGTTAAGGGATGCGTCATGCCCGCGTCCACTTGACAGAATGAGAAGAATCAGAGGTGTCTTTCCAGAGTAAAGCCCATTGAGAGCATCATCGTCGTCGTCATCGTAACGGTCCATGGGCAAGAGAGTCCGTAGGTGTCCAATGCACATATAGTCGTTTGTCTCCACTTTTCTCCGTCTCGTGGAAATATGCTCAAAAGTAGCGGCCACATCTTTCTGGCGTCAATCCCTTGACGTCGTCTTCAAGCCATTCTCTGGAAGGTCTTCCTCTCTTTCCCGTTCCTAACATTGTGACGAACAACTGCACACTTTTAATTTCCCTGTTGTCCATCCCATGTTGAGCGAAGCAGCGATTTTTCGCTCGGCCCGCAGATAACACCAAAGCATTCCACAATTATACACCCACCAACACACTATTCATTGGCCCACTCACACAGTCACTCACCCACACACTCACACACACGCTCACTCACTCACCCACACACTCATTCACTCGCTCACTCACTCACCCACCCACACACTCGTCCACTCACACACAAACTCACTCACTCATCCACCCACTCAACTAATCACCCACCCACTCTTCTACTTAAACTGCACTCACCCACGCACTTAAGGACCTGAATCAGAAGTTTATTTCCCAAGCAAAGCCTTTTGAGCTAAGAAATATTTTTTTTAAGTGCGACTCGGTTGGCAGACACCATCGTTTTATTCAAGCCAATACGATGTCTCTAATTTGCGTGCGTCCCTCCAATTCATTGGCTGCTCTTCTGTCCCAGCATGCACCTCTCCCCCATGGGTCTCACTCACGTGAACTTCTCACTTCTTTGTTCCGTTTTCGCTTTTGCGAGTGTCCCGTGTTTCTGGCCCGCGTGTCATACATATATCACGCGATTATATAGACACGGTAAGTCCTCGCTTAACGCGTGTTCACACAACACGGTTCTTGCATTAGGGAACACTTTACGCACAACGCCCCCGTTATAACGCAGAACCGCGCACCGTTATAACGCGGTTTCTGAGCGGTCGACAAAGAACTACTTTCTTGAGCTGTGCGGCTGAACGGTACGATACAAGACGCGGACTGATACAGTAACGCGGCGGTTTACCCTCCGTTATTTGTCCCGCCGTTTCACTGCGTGCGCGTGCAGCGTATCTCGCCACAAACTCTGTCGTTACTTTATTTATGGGGGTATTGTCCTCGCTGAACGGGGCACTTTTTTGGATCGCATCTACCGCCACTTAATTAAATTGCAATCCAAACTGCGACTCAATCTGAACTCTTTGTTGATATTATTATAGTCGTGCACCGCTGTGGAAAAATTTACCAATAAACGTCCATGTTTAGGAATATTTTCTACATATTACGAATCTGTGTTATGTACGTATAAATCGTTAAGCTAACTGTGGCTGTACAGGTCTCAAAAGGCCAAATGATCA